GACTTTCTTTTATGTTCTAAACAAGTTCCTAGATAGAAATTTAAGTAAAACTGAAGGAAGTTACAGAAAATTATTACACTTGCAAGGCTATTCATATATAGGCAGTTTTTTTTTTGTTTATTTTACCTGATTATTCTTACAGTTCTTTTGTTATTTCTTCTGTGTTGGTTGGATCACAATACCAATGATGTAGCTTCATTGGCTCTATCTCCTCTGGATCAATATTCTATGACCTCAGGTGAACTATTCCCTTACTATCCTTAGTAATGAAAGTGATTAAGCAAGAGAGTATTATTGATAGTTCAGGTGAAAAACTATATATAGATAACTAGAAACTGGTCTACATAAGAGGTGGTGGAGGGTGAAGGAACAAGCATTTTTATAATGCTTACTATGTGGCAGGCACTGTGCTAAGCACCTTTTACAAATGCTATCTCATTTGATCCTCACAACAACCCTGGGAAGTAGGTGCTATTATTATCCCAATTAAAAATTGAGGAAACTGAGGCAAACAAAGATTAAGTGACTTGCCAAGGTCACAGAGCAAGTAAGAATCTGAGATTGGATTTTAACTCAGGTACTCCTGACTCCAGACCCAGCACCAGCATTGGTCTCAGAAGATCAAGTGAGTTCAGGCAGATAAGCACAAATCTCTCACAGACACAAGAAAAACAACTTTGAGTAAGAGCTAGACTGACATGGGTCAGTAGCTTTTTATATGAAGGGCAGGATTATAAATTGTATATAACTGATAATTATACAAACTTTAGTTGGGGAAGGGAGGCTGCAGCTGTTCAAGGTATCTGAGTATGAAGTCTGAAACTTTTTACATATTGGTATCTCCACCCTGCCCCCCTTAGATTACATCAATATCTTTTTTTTCTTTTTTTTTTTTTTAAAGAAAGACAGAAGTATAAAGGCCTGAGTCCTAGTCTTTGTTCTGTCACTAACGAAATAGTTGCCTTTTCTGGAGTAAATCATTTCTCTTCTTGAGGCCTCAATTTCTTTGTGTATAAATTTTAATAGATGGAAGAGATTACATTTAAGGTCCCTTTTGGCTGTAAGGTACTAAGTTAAGATTCTAATTTAAGCTAACTTTTAGATGATTTTTCTGTCTGAAATTTTATAATAAAGCACTTACAGTGTATCATTTATAATGGAGAGGTAATATTTTGCTTCCAACATGCTAAATTGTAAAGAACATAATCACATTGTGATTCTGCCTCACAGGGAAAAGCAGTGTGGCCACTTAGCTGTTTTCTGTGTTAGGAAGTCCTGGGTTCCTATCTCTCCTCTGAAACATAAGAGTCATGTCACCCTGAGTGGCAGTCACCGAATCTCCTAGTGACTCTGGTATCTCTTTAAGACTATAAATTGAAGGATCTACATTGCTAGAGAAAGTGTCCTTCCTTGGACTGCCCTTGATAAAAAATAATTATAGGTCTGGACCAAATATGTATATAGCAAGAGCTACATATCATGTAAATAAGGAAGATGATCTTACCTAAATTTATCTGAAAACCTGTGTGAAAGGAAAAAGGGGAGCTAGGGGAGTCTTCAAGCATGCTTAACAAAATAGCTGGGTTTTTCCTCATTTGGTACTTAGAAGGGAAAAATTAAAACCTGTTTCTGCACAGATTTTCAATACTACCCATTAAAGAGGTTGATTTAAAGGTGAGATTAGTATGGTTCTGAAAATATTTGGCTTTGCTGCCTGTTTTGCCCAGATGTAAAAATAGACAGCTAAAATGTAAAATCGATTCTAATAGCAAACAGATCATTGCAACATCTCTGCCTAGGATATTAGGGGAAACCTGAATGTTTGATTTAGTGGCACTTCGGGAGTAGGTGGAACCAAAATCTCTACAATAACCTTGAAAATCTGTTCTTGCTCCACTCCCCGTACAAGTTAAGCCTTTAAAATAAGGATGCACAATGCACCCCCCAAAAAACCCCCAATAATAACAATATATGAACACAACGATTAGCGTGAATGTTTAATTTTGTAGTTAGTCACTTCATTACCCTCAAATGCTGATCGAAGGTGAGCAGTTGCAGACAGATCTACCAGTCCCTTTAGTAGCGCACCTACGGGGTTCAGGTTAGGTCCAGACACTTATTCAGCGCCACTCTTTCAGGATCTCCCAGTGTTCAACTATGTTACCCCACCCCCTTCGGCTCACCCCCAAAGAAATGCTCGTAGGAGTGCCTTCCAGTGACTCAGCTGAGAATGCTGCCCCCCGCCCCCTTCAGCCCAGTCCCGCCCCTGGCAGCGGAGATAAAGGAAGCATTGCTGAAGGCTCTTTGCCCTATCAGGGGCAGTAGTGGACGAGTGTTGTGTGGAGGATTGGAAAGCGGAGGTGGGTGGAGAAGGAACAAGCAGAGAAACATCTGTGCATAAGCACCGGGTTGTACATACCCTGGGAAAGCCAGAAGAGGCTCAAGGAGAGGGAAGTGGGTGGCTCTTTTGAAATTGCTATCAGTTTTCCAAGCTTTCATCTCAGTTGTAAGGCCAGGGTCTCAGAGCTGTCCAGAGGATACTCCTGCCGCCGCCCCCTGGCAGTGTATCTACGCCCTTCTGCAGCCCAGAAACCGAGGCAAAGGGAAACCGCAGGCTGAGGAGCATCAGCTAGTCAGGCACCCCACCTACCAAGCGTGCAAATCCGTAGGTACTTTCCACAAAGGTCGCTCTGAGAGCCACAGAGCGCAGATTCACTCAGTGTCTGCTCTAACTCCTAGGACAAGTTCACTGCCCTATTTGCCAGAGCTTGGGGAAAGGGGAAAAGGAGATGGTTGAGAGCTTTTCTCCCAGGCAGGCTCTTTCCTCAGAGGCACTTAAACAAGCCAGAGGTCATTATCCCAGAATCTCTTTCCTTGCTTCATGCAAAGTTTCTTTAACTGTGTTTCCAAACGCAATGCAGACTAGAGAGAAAGATAATCAATACTATGATCAATAGACAGAAATTCTGGATCACTTAGGCCCTCAAAACAAGATCGTATGGATTGAAGACCCTTATGCCCATGTTAATTAACATCCCTTTACCTGAAAAGGCGAAAACTTTGAGAGAAGAGAACAGTGACAGATTCTGTGTCAAAGCAAGGGGCTTTTCCTGCGAGGTGGTAGCTCAAATAATTAATTCCACCTTGTTGCAAAGTGCCCAGAGCAAATATTGCGTCCTCTTACTGAACAATATAAAACATACTCCAACAGTCACAGAAAAAAAAAGAGAGAGGAAAAAGAGACTGATTAGGGAGAAGTGTGAGGAAAATTAAGGTAGAAGCAGTTTTTAGTAAATTTACTCTCCTTTCCTCAAGAAATTATCTCCTAATCCTCTTCCCCCTATACATATACCCATAACCCCCCCCCCCCCCCCGCACACACCCAAGAAACCTGAGTCAGAATTTTTTTCTAGCAATGTGATGCGGGTCAGTTTGTGTGTGTGTGTGTGTGTGTGTGTGTGTGTGTGTGTGTATGTTTGTAACAAAACAGAAGAAAGTAAAAAAGCAAGGTCTTAATTCCTTGGATTCTGAAAACTTCAACCTTTCCCTCTCCACTACCTCCACACATTCTACAGAAAAAACAAAAAGATGAAAAAAAAGTTTGTCAAAGCCCATATCATACTCATCATCATCATCTCAAAGTAATTAGTGAAACTATTCAGAAGAAAAGAGATCTAAGCAAAGCTTTGTTGTCTGTCAATCAGACTGATATGAAATCTGAAGAAACTGACCAGCACTGAAAATAAATGGTCTTAGTGCAAAGAAGGAACTGGTGACTCCTGAAGAATTCCAGGAGGTTCCTGGGATCCTGCTTTCTAGGAGCTTTCCCAGGTTGTCAGGAAAATGCTTACTACCCTCCAACACTCAGGGCAATTGAAGTTTATAATTCTTGAAGTAGTGGGATGAACCTCAATCACTGCTCTTTTATTCCACTACTCACCCAAATTCCTGAAACAAACACAAACAAAACTTGAAAAGAACTGATGTGATCTTGATGCATTTGTCTCTGGCAGAACAATGACATTCAGAAAGTCTACTATCTTCCCATTAGAAAATATTTGTTATTTAAAATGCAATAGCTTCTTAAAGTTTTTTACCTGCCTCACTAGCCCAATCGATTTCTATATCAGAATTTTAGTTTGGAGGAGAAAACACATCTCTATCAACCATTAGTTGACTGACTGGAGGGGTTACAATTCAATACAACACCATTACTGCATCATAGAAGACAGAAACTCTCCCCAGAACAGGAGACTCTGATTTTTTTTCAAAGATGAAGCATGATTTCCTTTAAGAGGTGGTACCATCTATATCGGAATAGTTAAAGATTTGGTACTGCTGCATTTACAAAGCTTCCCTTAGAGAAAATGCGAGGTTTAGAGTACAACTCCGTATCTCCTTTATACCCAACATAGCACACACACATTCCACTTTCTGTTCTCTGTGGGGCTCAGGTTTTTTCAATTTTTTGTAGGGAACTTGGGTAAGTAAGAGGGTAGACCACATGCATGTTATTATTGATGTTATCCCTGGGCAAATAGAAGCCTTTAGAAAAGGATGAAAATCTACAAGGCAATATTGTCACTTTTGTCTTTAACCCTACTGGATTTCCATCCTGTGTGCTAGAAGCCAGTATTCCATGATATAAAATCTACGTGTTATTGACTCTAAAAGATCCTAGGCACAAAATATCAAACTTGGCCGTTCAAAATCCTCAACCAGAAAGTTTAAGAGAAAGTAAAGTGGAACCCGGATTCTGCCAGTTCGGAAGGTAGAAAGTCCCAGCTGCAGAACATCTGGGCTGGGGACATGTTAATAATGACAGTTGCTTCCCCAAATCCAACCCTTGCGAAATAAAGTTCTCAGAACGACCCACAATCTCTTATCTGCAAGACCACCGGTGGTGGTCAAGAATATATGAATGTCACCCCCCCCCCCCCAAGAAGTACACACTTCTTCCTAGTCCCCATCCCGCAAACAATGCTCAAGGATTTACTTACCAACTGCCAGGCAGACAGGGAGCAGAAGCCTGAAGATCAGTCCACAGACCACTTCTGAGGCCATCGCTTCGGGGGCACTTCTGACAGGAACCCGGGAACCAGGCGGCGACAACAGTAAGAACACAAAGCTAAGCTAAGTCACTGCCCCGAGGACAGTCCCATGACAGTCTAGGTGGTCCTGCCTGATACTGATCTCATTTGGTCAAACATCCTCTCTCTCTCTCTCTCTCTCTCTCTCTCTCTCTCTCTCTCTCTCTCTCTCTC